TATTGCAAATATAAACATGACACTTGACAATGATGATTACTATTTACTTTCCTGTTGTGTAGATCATAGCCATGAATCTGAGGGCAGCCAAAATAATACAGAAGACATTGGACTGGTGGACCACCAGTATGCCAAAAAAGGTCCACTGTGGTACAAGAGGTTGTGTCCTCAGCAAGAACAAGTTGTGAGTGCCAAACTAAGCTGGATAGTTCAATGCACAGCTTGTTGGTGTGCTTTAAATATAAAATGCATGATTGCTTATTTCTAACAGGGATATTTTTTATTTTATTAAGAACTGTTGTTCTGGATGGCCCAGTTTGTCTTCAAAGTGAAGACTTTTGGAGCCTGGGACTAGATGAACAGGTGGAGATCAATGTAAGTGGATATTGCAGTAAAGAGTTTGGATGGTTCTAATGCCTTTATTGTAATTGTGCAAAACATTCTGCGCTTTAGATTGGGAATGTGTGCTTCAGGCTGATTGAGGAGGCAGGCAGGAGACATGTATGTATTTGTATTTATCTTGATGACTTGCATATAAGTTTGTGCAAAAATGAGAGTACACCTCTCACATTTTTCCATAATACTTTGTCTTTTCGTGGGACAACACTATAGAAATGAAACAATGATGCATCTTAAAGGGATACTCCACTAATTTTTCATATTAAACTAGTTTATTACCTTAACTAAGACAAGTTGATGCATACCTCTCTCGTCTCAGTGCGTGCGCTCAATCGCTCTGGCACACGAGACATTTTGATAGCACTCAACTAGACCAAACACCTCCACGTTTTCCCTAATTAAATACAGTTACACAAGTAAAGTAACTCAACCAAGAATAGTGACACAAAATAAAACTTTTTTTAAGCGTGTAAAGTGGAAACTATAATGTACAGCAAGTGCTTGGGAGCACTTCGACTCGGTGCAGTAATATCATCACTCGTGAAAAGTCCTCTCCCCCTCCCTCTCTGGAGTGATGATATTTCTTACAGGATATTCTTATAATATGATGACCTCTTAGATGTCAAAAGCTCAAGGAAAATTGGATTTCTCAGTTCATTACCCCTTTAAGATGCATCAAAGTTTCATTTCTATAGTGCTGTCCCTTGAAAAGATATAACAGAATATTTGCTAAAATGTGAGGAGGGTACTCACTTTTGTGAAATGTACGTATATGAAATGCAGACATACAATTTTATTCAGGGAATGGATGTCCACATTGCTGACCTATTTGAAGTCCCTAAATGGAAAGTAAGGGAGCTAGTTTGCCGGTAAGTTGCATAATGTGTTGACAAGTCCAGCAGATACACCTCTTTAAGTACAGATATGTCCAAGGAGATCTGAACATATATATATTTTTTGTTTCATAGGAATATCATTTTGCCAGCATGGTCACAAACAGCAAGCCACTACATGCTTTGTGTACAGTTACATTGTTTTTTTTCGTTTTTCCTCTATTTTTAAACCAGTTGGTACGCCTATAGCTGACATTTAATAACCTAATAATAAATAAATAATTTCAGGTATTTATTTCAGTCACCTTGGTTGAATTTTTGGCTAAAAAGTTACTGAATCGATTTCAAGTCACTGAATCGTTTCGGATCGGATCGTTCTAAATTAACCAATATCGTCCTTGAATCGCATCGACAACCACGAATCGTGATACGAATCGAATCGTTGTTAAAACGAATCGTTACACCCCTATAGAGTCTCCACAATAGACAAGAGAAAACTATATCCGCGCCACTGATCGCAGCGGCAACGGGCACTTGAACACATTTCAGCGCTAGACCACCTCTTATTTAACAAACCAACTAAATGAATGCTCTGCTAGTTAATGGAGATTTTTTTATTAATTTATATTGGTACATTCATGCTGCGAGATGTTTCAAAAGTGGTGGTAATAATATTGACCTTAGCAAAAAGGGGTGGGGACATGTCCCATCCGTCCTACCCGCAAATTACACCTAAAGGGCCTGTACAAAATGGGCCGGCCCTAGGGCTGCCAATGGAATAGCCCGTTAGCTTGGTCATCTGCATTTCCGACTCAAATTGATAGCTGTAGTACTGATATTATCACCTGTCATTATTGCTCTGGGAGCTGTGTCGGGATGTGGTTTCAACTACAGCCGTCTGATGTCAGAATGCCACACTGATTTGTTGTCAGAGGTCTAGTTGAATACCATTACCCTGAGTTGTTGCATCAATTTGTTTGCCGATAGGCCCGGGAAAGGATGGAATAACTGGAGTACCATGCAGGAAATCGTTGAAGGTGAATTTATTGAGGACAGCTGTCTCAGCACACGTGCTCCAAATCAAGTTCAAAAATAAACAAAAGAAATCATCAAAAAATACTCAAAATAAACATTACAAAACATAAATTAAACATGCTGAAAGCAGCAAAAACATGGCATCAAATCCAGCCTCGAGGAACAAATAAAACCTCTGACAATCACGACACATCCTACAGCATTGGACTGGACTGGACTGGACTGGACTGTACTAGTACTGGCACATGGCCCGTCTCTCTCCGCTCAATTAGCCTCACTCCTTTATATATGCTATTTTCCCGCCAAAACTAGTGGGTCATACCAACTGTAGGGGTCGAATAACTCCCCTGACAATGGAAACATTCAATATCAGTGTTCTTGCATATAAATCCAAACAGATACATAATCACAAATAATATCCTTAATCAATGATAAACAATATGAAAACAATTATAACATTAAACAAAAAGACAATGTAAACAACAACACTGTGAACCGATGTTCACATGGTGATAACCTACACAAGCTGATGTTCCAAATATGGTAAGGGGCGAGACATTTACGTCACACGCTTAAGGTTTTTAGGCCAATCACAATGCACTGGATCGATGGCCAATCAGAGCTTTGAGCTTTGTAAAAATCGAAGCGTTTCAGAAAAAGGGGTATAGAGGAGCAACAACAATGTTCAGTATGTGTAAAATAATGACTTTTTTAACCTAAAACCCATGTAAACACACTGCATTAAACTAAATACACAAAATAATGTTCTTTTTAGAACCATCATATGACCCCTATAAACAAAAAGCATCCAAAAATAAGGAGAAAATATAAAAAGAAGGAAAAATAATTCCCAGGGCAATGTCTGAATACTCCAAATATGAAGGAAAATACTGTCAAAATAATTCAAAGAGTTTGCAGTGCCGCTTGCGTCCACAGAGCGGGGCTAACGTGTCACAAATGGTAAGCAAGGATTTTCCTAAAAACCACAGTAGCAAAAACAACTCGTTCTGAATCAGCTTTATTATAAAGCAACAACAAAAACAATGTCTGTGTTTTTCTTCTGGATCTCAATTGGTTAAACAGCAATGAAGAAAACTCACAGTACCTCAGCTCCTTTAAATTGGAGACAAACACTCGGGGGTCACACAGCAGACACTCTTCGTGTCACAACTATTTGGCGATCACGCTTGAAACTCATGACAGCACAAGCTCGGTCCAGCTTCTCTCAGCTCACCTCGACACTTGTCAACCACTGTCCACTTAAAAGCAGATAAATCACTAGAACACTGTTTTTCACTCACGCTTCATTCGCACGCTCTCACTTCCCTTGACGTCGCAGTATTCTTTTCAAAATAAAAGCCCTTGAATACCTCCACACAAGCATCTAGTGGAGACTGTGAATGTGGTTTCAGTCTGATGAATGGTGGTTTAGACTGAGAAAAGCCAAAAAATTTATTTTTGGCTTATGTGGATGAAAGACAACAACTCCCAGAATGCACTTGCTTCACTGCCCTAGGAGGCCACGCCTACCGGTAACAGAGCGCAGTAGTTAAACAAAAACTCTAGGCTACTAGTGAGTCTCCATGATGAGTCTGCCCGGGATTTCGAGATCGCACAAAATGTCCGTGATTCGGCTTTTGCGTTTTACAGTCGCCATTCATTATGTTTACTGTGGCGAGCAGGACGAGTGAGGGCCGCGGGAGAACGGCACGAGACCGGTGGCCTGATTACCGATGAGCGACACCTGTGAGACGCACCGGTCTCGTATCTCTCACGGAGGAGCGGGAATTTTCTTAGCAATGTTAAAACGCACATCAACCGATCACTTGTTTAGCGTTCATATAAACACTACATTCAGATTCACCAATCGGAATGAATTCAGTTAGATTAAACAAAAGCTGTGCATGTAGACAATGAATGGCGTCTGCAGAAAGCAAAAGCTGAATCTCGGACATCGACAACCGGACATGTCTGGGAAAAAGAGGATGGCAAGATCCTGCTAGCTTAGCTTCCAAAACAAGATGGCTGACACTATGTGTTCATTCTGTGAGTGAGATCACCCTCTATGGGTGGGTTGAGGACATGCGGGACAGACCCGACTACTGACTGTAGTCTTTAGCCTCTGGACAAATCCTCTGATGATGCAAAATGGCAAAATTTTTTCCAGACAAAAAATACATAAATCTCTCGTATCAGGGGGATATGAGGGTGGAAAGCACTGTAATTCGAAAATGCTACAGGTTTTCTACTAATACAAAGCTTAATGCTAAATCCTGAAGTAACCCTTTAATATTTTTAAATGGTCCGTTGTTTAACTGGTGCTTTCCTGATTCTAAAATTTGTTTTCAACCCGCCATATTTGTTGCTCACAGTTTTAAAGTTTGCGCTCAGATAAATATTTATCTGTTTCGGTGTTACTTGGGTAACATTAAACATATAATAGTTTATCTACATAGATAAACTATTATGGATAGGTTTTATTTAATTAAACTATGTAGATAAATAGTTTAACTACATAGTTTAAGTAAATGTACTGCATGTATTCTACTGCAAAGAATTGTCTAGATTACTCAGGATAATCATAAAAAATAGTTTTTTTACAATTCAAAATAAGTGAGCTACTCAAATTATGTTTGTAAAAAAAAAAATAAATAAAAAAATAATTTCTTTAAAAAATAATTACAGTCAGCCTCAATGACTAATTGGTATTAGTTTGATCTGCTCTACTCTCACCTGACTTTCTACCAGCATGGCCATATCCATGAACATATCGTGCAGCTCACGGATGTTGTTCTCCAGTTTGATGATTTCATTGTGTTGCGTCTCAATCTCGTTCATGGCCTGTTCAGTGATGTTGCAGTCCATGATGATCTGTAGGGGGGGGGCAAAATAATAAAAAGATATTAGAAAGTGGCGATGCTGAAGTTTTCCAACATAAGTATGTTTCAATCACAAGCTGGTTTACTGTGTGCAAAAACAACAGAAAACTGCAGTATGCTCTGGGAAGGTGATCTCACAAAATATTTATTTATTTACTGTTTATTTGAATAGGAACATAGATTATTACATAAAGAACAATCCAATGCCTGTATCATAGTGTTTATAGCCAAGGCTAATATGAACTTAAATATGAACTTTTGCAGCTCTAAAGACCCAGCAAATGTGTTTGGACCAATTGTGTGGCCCTTACAGGACACAATGACGGAATGCTAAATTAACGAATCCAGGTTATTTCCTGCGCGTTCTGTCTTTTCAGAGAGCAAAGTTTTTCATTCTAGTTGACATTCAACATTCTGACACCTTAGAATTTAAGATAGAATGGCAATTGATTATTGGTCATTTTAATTATTATTTACCTAGACATTTGATAATACAATTTAACTCTTTATTTTACATTGTACAGAGGTAATTGACTGATACTATTTAGATGGGTACCCATACTTAGCCTGGTTCAACCAGACTCTAGTTCATTTCATTTCCACATAGAGTCTGGAACCGCTCCATTGACAAACGTTTCCTTCCTTGTAGGCGGGTTCACTATTAAAGTTCAAATCTATTGGATCTGCCCAAAGTCACTCACGATCTGCCATAGCCAATCGCTAACGGGGTGTCGTGAGTGACGTATGTCACACGCCGAAATGGCTGGAAAGTCCGAATGATCAGAGGATTATGTTTACAATAGGATTTCAGTCAACGAGCGCCGCAGGTTTTGTTAATCTAGGAACAATTATTAATTCGAAATGTATATTTGACACAAAGGACAGTGATATATTCATTCAACGGTGGAAGCTGTGTCATTACAAATACGCCGCTGTGGTCGTTTCTGATCTGCCGCAAATGCTGTAGCAGCTACAGTGAATGATCAGTCTGTCTCTATCTGCAGATGTGTAATAAACAACAATTTTTCATATTACGTCTTATTGTTTCTTAATTACCTTAATTATGGTCTTCAAAGTATGTGTTTGTACATTTTTATGTGGCATTTACTTTTTTTTAGTAAAACAAATCAACCATTGCCATCTAAAACTGAAAATCAAATATCTTCAAAGTATGGTTTTTCACATTTTTATTTATGACAATTATTTTTTTTTAAATCACAACCAATTTGTATGATTTACAACATGTAAAACTGACACACCAACCTCCTGAATGAGTGCACAAAGGGGCTCAAAATGTTCTATTCATCACAAGAGTCAGTAAATTTACAGTTGGGAATATGAGCGACTGACATGACTCCTGAGCGGATCTTCAACAATAGTTTAGCAGCCAGGACTCGGGGCTTCCGAACACCGCGAACACCAGGCTAAACCGTACGTCCAAAATGTCACGGTCATCGTGCACGAACTGCCCAGCACAAACTTCCAAACTTTCTGCCTCCTTCACTTGGTCCTCAGTTGTGCAACAAGAGGTGAGACAATAACAATCCGGCTTTAAATTCTGTATATTCGGCAGTTTCTTTTCCAACAACGGACCGAATAGCTTTTCTCACGTCTTTCTCCGCTGCCATTACTGAACTCAAACTGACGCGCTTACATCAACGTCATCTTCTCAGCCACTCCCTCTATTTGCTGATTGGTCCTACAAAAAATTGATTTCTGGAAACCTAAGGATATGGAGCGATCCCAGACGTAGTACAGAAGTAAAATGAAATTGAGCGGAAGTGCGTAGGAGGGCGCAGCCAGGCTAACCCATACTTGCTCGTCCGTAAAAGTACTTAAGTTAGTCTCAACAGATCTGTACTCATTTGAAGCAAGAATATCTCTGGCCAGCGGTCATGACCAATATCATAGACTCGTGCCACAAAAGGCTATCGGCTGATATCTATGGTAGTGGCCATGACCGCTGGCCACGACTCCTATCAAGAACTGCAGGGTTCTCATTGGCTGTGAGACACACGCAACTCAACCAGTTCACTCACTCACACGCCACATTGTGTATTTCTCACGCTGAAAAGGCAATGTCAACCAAGTTGTCCTGTAAGCTTTATATATAACGTTGTATATGAGACGCAGGCACACAAAGTGAAGTTTCCTGCCGCTAGCACGTAACTCTCGGCCAGACTGAGCTTGTTAGGCAACATAGACGAGCGAACACACGGAAGTTGACGGAACATTCTCGGTCACCGTACGTTCGCTACTAGGTAACCAACAACATCGCGCAAACACACGTCGTGATAGAGAAGGGAAGAAAGCTCGTCTAACATTTTTAAGCTAGAACATTTAATAAATAGCCCATCGTGTACATTTTTATTGATGCAGTCAAAAACTCTACAACTACTTTTCAACCAGGCCAGCTTTGGCTCAGTTTGGCTAGCTTACATTACTTAAAACTATAAGGGAAATGTTATGGTATGGGACGGAATGAAGATGTATTTCTTTATTTAATTTAATTTTAAATTATATAATTTGTAATATATTATTTAGTGCTCGGCTCTGGGTAATATTTTATATCCTGTCAAAACATACATTAATAATTGCCATTGTATTTGTATTTTTCAAAGATGTCAGGGAAAAAGCAAAAACATATTTGTGTACACACACACACACACACACACCTTAATACTCCAATATGTCCATTTGTTCACAATGTCCCAGACCACACAGTAAATCATTATACAATTTCGACTAGACATATTCAAAATGCAAAAAGATTTGTTTTTCCAAACTGTTTGGCGCAATCTGTTAGATTTGAATAGATTTGTGATTTTGAAATAACATTAAAGAGTAGAATATTTGATGTGATGAATTGCTCTGTCATTTATCAGATTTACCAATTGTTAATATTTCAATTTGTGCTGGTTAATTATGAACAATGGGTAAAATTGGGGGGCGGGGATGGGCAGGGGCGGGGCTCCATTGGGGCTCCTCCCCTAACTGCACATGATCTCACTCCAAACTTTTGATAAAACTTGAGAACCATGAAACCTTCAGTGAGCTCATAAAAGTAAAGCTATCCATTTCAGCCATTATTCCAACTGACTAGCACAGTATCTTTGTAATGACCAGTTAATGATGCTGTATCCACTCACCCCTGAAGTGAAGATGGGGTTGTCACTTTCCAACACGCTCTCCAACTCCTCATTTGTTGTATTTCTTCCGGCTACACAGAAAACATATAATATTACTAGCTTGTTTGTGCTATAACACATAAAGCAGCATAAATGTAAATGTTTGTCTTTATACTAGTTGATGTAAAATAATACAATAACACACATAGAATGTATATTGGATGATTTTTGTAAAGATACTATCTATAGCTGCTCTTCCACTCTCGGGCCAGTGAGAGCCAGGGCTAATAGTGAGTCGTGTGGGGCCAATAGCGAGTTGTGCGAGGGCTAATAGCCTCGGATCTGAAGCACCAAGCCCAAAATCAAGTTGCGTTTCTACTGTCGGGCCAATGAGAGCAAGGGCTAACAACGAGCCGTGCGGGGGCCAATAGCCTCGGATCTGTCAACTTCCGTGTGTTCGCGCGTCTATGTTGTTGTCTAACGAACGCAAGTCGCAATAGCCTCGGACCTCAAGCACCAAGCCCAAAATCAAGTTGTGTTTACACTGTCGGGCTAGTGAGAGCCAGGGCTAATAGCAAAATCAAGTTGCGTTTTCACTGTCAGGCCAGTTTCACGGTGCAACCCTAAAACCCACCCTTAACACACCTCCATTCAACAACGTCACACAACCATTTCACCAGTTGACTGAAAAAATTATGCATGACGCACGCTAGACTGGCCGCTGTGGTTAGGGGTAATACACAGAACTTTCATAACTTATGGTCTCCGTTTATAGATCACCTGAAAAATAGTCATGTGTACCAATTAGGGCTCTCTGGGGTGTGGGGTTCCTCCTTCTGGAGGTGAGCATTGCAACTTTGCAACTTACAAAGAATGGTCTGGGTTCTTTTGTGTTCTGATGGGGTTTTTTTCGGTTCCAACTGACATGTATCAGTCTTCTCCTTAGGCTGGGATATATTGATGATAGATTATGTATGAGAAATATTTTAATGTGCCTTTCTGTAGGTTTTGATTGTTAAACTTTGTGACTAACCTAGTTACCAACATTATTATTTATAATTGATATAATTTTTATTTGTATTATTGCTACTGTAGTCCCTTTATCTATTTATTTCATTTTTTCTGAATATGGTTATACATGTATCTTATCATTTATGCGCTATTTATGGTTTGATTTGGAGTTGTTTTTTATTTCATTTGAAACCAAACCCATGTCACAATTCTTTTTGAAGATTTTCTGTTAAGGTATTTCTATTTCCCTCAGGAAGACACATTTTATATTGTACATGCTAATATACAAAGTTTAGTCTGCATTTCTCACCATCAAAAGGCAGCAGATGCATAAATACACTTACTTTGTTTTTGTTTACTCCATGTAGTTTTGAGAGCTGAAGTGTATATTTTTATTTTCTCAGACGCATCAAGGTGAGTTCTCACACTCTCTCACACACTCACGCACACACACACATACTGTATACACACTGTAATATGCTATTATACTCCATATAACTCCATGTAAAAGCCAGAAACTAAGCTTTTTTTGCACAGGCCTGTCTAAAGGGTTAATGGTTCCACCTGGTTATCAACAGTAAAAATTACAAATTTTACCTCTTCCCAACAGGGAAAACCATCAACAATCAAAAATGCATGATTTTATGCCAAGACTGTGATAAAAGGTAAAAAAAAATCCAGTATACAATCATATTTTATATTGAAAATAAGTCATTTTGTGTTCCCCCCCCCCCCCAAATCAGTGACATCATTTATGAATTTGGCAATTAAAGAGTTAAAATCCTGATTTTTGTAAAAAAAAATTTAGTAGTTTTGATCAGGACTGAGGTCGGTTAATATATTTATGCAAAAAAATGTGAAAAAAATATTTATCTGATAAATTTTTACAGCAGTTTAAAGTAGTGGCTTTTTTCAGCCACGAACATAACGAAAGGGTAGTGAATTTGCCCAGAGTGTACTGTTGAGTTTTTGAAATATTTCAAAGCATTTTCCCAAAATATGTGTCAAAATAAGATTTGTCACCAAAAATCATTCCATTTGCTGAAACAAGGAAAAAGTTATGGCCAAATTAAGACTAAAAAATACCCCTTAGTGGCTGAAAAAAGCCACAACAGCACATAAGGGTTAAGACTCCAGCATCGATATTTGACCAATGTTTTACAATAAATGATAAAGTGACAGTAAATTTAGTTACAGCCAGACAGGGGAAACACGGCTAATGAGTGGCCTGGGCCTGCTATGCCAAATGGCTTAATATCTAGTGGATTGACTAGACTTATGTGTATCTGTGCTTGCTTCATTAATACATTGATAAATACAGAGCATACAAGATTGTTGAATGATTTGGAATAAGAAAAGCTAAAGCTGTAATGAAATTGTAGTAGCAAAAGATTTTATCTTCCTTGATTGTGCCATCCGAGTGTATGGTGGGGACTTGGTTTTATGGATCAGGTAATGATTGGATTTTGAGATGTGGGCATAAGGGCAGGCCGATAAACGTGAGCTTGCACACTAAACGATTGAAGAATATTGCACTCATCACTTGAACTGTGTTGTTTTCACCAGAAGGTTCAGTTATGACAGTTTGATTGAACATCACCAGATTAAACTTAAAAAAAAATCAAGAATTAATTGTTTACAATATGAACTATACATTTAGAAAATAGCGTACATTTTAATCTCATGTCAACTTTGGGTTATATTATTAGGATTTTCTTACAAACACCTGTTATTTCACTCAAAGGTACTCTGTGTGAGATTTACTCCCATGTAGGGGGGAAATTGTATTTTGCATTCAAACAAATTGTGCTCTCCATCGCCTCGCATCTACGGTAGCCCTTATATAGCCAAAAGCTATGCGTTACGAAGCTGGAGACGAGAAATTACAGGCCGTGGCAATGTAATACTTCGCACTGAGTTCATGTTAGAGTGTGGCTTATATGGAGAGTCTGATGAGGTGCAGGTGTGTGTGTAATCAGTCACAGGGATGAGGCATTATGGGAAACGGAGTTCTGGTGGGAGTGATCAGTTCTGATGTGGAGTGCCCTCTGGTGGTTCTCTGGGGAACTCCAACTGGTCATCGTCACACTATGACAGGATGTTTTCTAAATAACACTTCATCGAGTTTTCAGGTTTGTAATTTCAAACAAACTGCAACTTGACACAGTGAACAAACAAATGTTACAGTATGAATTACTGACTGTGAAAAACATGAACTATTGTAATTATTAATTATGCCTTCTTTATTCGTCACATTAGTCAAACAGAAATAAATTACCGTTAGGTTTCACAAAAGAAAGAGGACACACTTCTTCAGTCGCATCTGTTTCTGTTTGTTTGGTAACTTAGTTACAGGACTTCTTTCTAAATGTGATATAAACTAAGTTATAGGACATATCGGGAGCTTTACCACTCTCTCGACTCCCTGTACAGTCCCTCCAGGATTTCACGATTTTTTTTTGTGATTTTTGCGATCAAAATGACTGATTTTGTGGTGGTAATTTCCAAAAATTTGTGAAAAAATTTGCGATTTATATTTAACATTTACCATAATAGTATTCAGTCCTTCCAGAAAAACACAGAGTTTTTTTTTGTGATTGTTGCGGGCAAAAATTGATTGATTATGCGGCCAGTTTTCTTCAAAAATGCGATGGAATATGTGGGATATTTATGCAATTCTATGCGATGATGGAATATGTGGGATATTTATGCAATTCTATGCGATGATGGAATATGTGGGATATTTATGCAATTCTATGCGATGAAATTGCTGGAATTTACAAAAATTGAGGGAACTTGCAAAAATTGCGGTTTGATGAAAAAGAGAAAAAAAGTGATTCCCCCAACATCCTGTTAATATAAGAGTCATTTCTTATTACTTCCTTTGATAAACAAGCATACTACATCATAGAAAGTGCTGGGAATATTTAATTTCTCATCTTGTTTTATTTCAGATTGTAAGAGTGTAAATAAGGTGTGGCCCCTTTAAGAGCTGCGCGCTCCCTGTTGAACTGTCAAACACCCCATGTGTGCGGGTAATTTCTGTTTGATGCTACTACTTTTATCTTATGTTGTTTATTAAGTAACGATGTGACAGTAGAACGTTCGACAGACAGTTATACGAGTTTGATTTGTGAGATGTCGTGAGTCTGTCTGGCGTCGCGTAATTGCGTCACTTCATAACGTTCCCATGGAAACAGGGGGAAATGGCTGCTCTTATGTGAAGCAAACGCAACATTTTTCAACGCTAAGATACATGTGACTTTTTTTGCAACGAAAATGCGAGGATTATGAAATTATGCAAACCCCGCATATTTTGCACGGAAATCGGCAATTTATGCGGCGAAAGTGAGGCGTATTTGAAAAAATGCGGCCCCCGCATAAATATGCGGACTTTGGCTGATTTTGCATTGAATTCAGCGATCGCATAATCGCGTTTTTCTGGAGGGACTGCCTGTAGGCTACAAATATTTTCAGTCAGAGAAAAAGAGGAAGCTCCCAAAAAGAAATTTGCTTTATTTTATGGTAGTCAGGTATAAAGAGACGAGACGTAGGCTATCTGACAGATAATATAAAAACAGGATTGTGATTTGCCTTTATGATTGGTGTGATTTCTTCAAACGTTCATCATGTATTTTTTTATTATGCACAAACAATGCAAAAATTAAAATATAATGTTATCGAATTTCTAGGTTACAGAAAGTAAAATAACAAACCTTGTTTTTAGCACCTTCTCTACTTGTACTTTACTCAATATCTGCTAACTATAACTAATATAACTTTTATATAACTATAAAATAAAGGCATAAACCCTTTATTGTGACCTAACAACAATCTCCAAACCACAATCTCTAACGGCACGATCTCACCGCATCCCGACCATGCGCGCCAACCCGTTTGACTAATGCTGTCGAAGCCCCACTATCGTCGTTAAAGCAGGTTATAAAGAGCAAATAAATTACATTTTCTAAACCAAAAACACAACCCCACCACCAGTGGCGGTTCTACTTTGAATTACACCCAGGGCGAGACCCCCTTCGAGTCGACTTTCGCGCTGCACCAGACTTCAACCACAGGAAGC